GTATATATGTATATTTAATTTTATATAAAATGTTAATTACTCAAATAATAAAAATATAGACCGTATATGGTTTAGGGCATATATTTACAGTCTAGATTTTCTTAGTCTGGAGATGGTGTAAGAAAAGTCCATATATGCACTAAACCATATATGGTTTAGGGCATATTTACAGTCTAGACCATATATGGTTTAGTGCATATATGGTCTAGACTGTAAATATGCACTAAATCATATATTTTTATTTTTTTTTGGTACAGGGACCTTCCGGTTTCCGGATCCACAGGGGACCCGACTAAATCATATATTTTAGATAAGAATCCTACGGTTGAGATGTAGATAAAACTATAATACATCAATAAATAAAAAGCACAAAATTTTTAACATAAAAATATATTACACAAAGTTATTTAGCATAAAAATACATTTATTAATACACATTATATACAATAATATCATAATATTACACTAAAAATACACAAAAAAAAAAAGGAAAAAAAAAAATGTGGTGCTGCGCTACAGTGCTGCGCCACAACTGACGCAGCACTGTTCATATATCTCATCTAGCGCAGAATTTCAGCGCAGCATTGGAGGCATATTTTGACACAACTCCAGCATTGGAGATAAGAGTTTAGAGTGTACCTTAATTTGGTAATGTTTAGGGCATGCTTGTTTATGGATTTTTTCAATCCAATTTTTTCAACTCAAATATTTAACTCAACTTTAACTCAACCTCACTATCTTTAATATTATTCATACAATTAAATAATAAAAAACCAATCATTCTTACATATCACATCAACTTCAATTCACTATTCATCCACTCACATAATTTTAACTACCAATCATTTCCAATCATTTATCTCCTACTTTATATCAAATCAACTTTAATCATTTTTATTTTAAATATTATTTTAATATATTTTTTAAATTCCACTAACAATTAACCACATTACTTTTTCAACTTTAACTATAGTTAACAAAATGAAATATTTTGGTTGAAAAAATCCATAAACAAGCGCCCCCTTAAGTTTTTGGGGTTTTTGTTTTCCGGTCTTAAATTGCTAACTTTATAATATAATAGCATGACCAAAATTTGCAATTTAGCCTTATCTTACAAGTTTGGTGGCGAAATTACTGCCAGTAAAAAATACGCACATCCACGGTAAAAATAATTTGCACGGTTACTGAGACTGATTGAATAGGTCACACACTACCTGGTCAAAAAAGCTGTTTTAACAGTACCAAAACACTTTTACGCATAATATATAATTATATTTTAACTTTTTTACCACAAAAAATAACTTGCTGTTGATGGCACTGAATTTGTACAGTCTTAACAGTTGTACTAATATTTTTGGCACTAACTGGCATAATGAGCTGAAACCAATACTTCTATTTTGATATTCAATGATACAGTAATTTTTTGGTGGAGTTAATTTTTCTTTTTTTTTAAAAAAAAAAATAAATATATCTTGTTGAAGTGGATTATTCATTTTTACGACCTATAAATAGACTCGCTACCTATCAAGTCGATAAATAAGTTTGAGCTCAGTTCGGTATTAAAATTTACGAGTTAAATTTGAGCTTTGACGAGCAAAACTAATTACTTGATAGTTTGAAAATTTACGCGAAAAAAAA